AGCGCCACTTTGTCCATCACAAATCCTGCTTGACTAGACCATAGCGGTGGAAAGCCAGCGACTAACCGCTTAAGCTATGGCGCGGCCTTAGAGATAATATTGGTGAATTTGGTGATAGCACTGGTATAACTTTTCACTGTAAACTCTACACTGCAACATCTCATTACATCTGTCCTCCCTTCCTGGTGCAGCTTCTTGGTATCTGCAATCTCTCCAGAGTATCCCATTCAGATACATCTCCGATTGTGTAGAGAGGCTGTAAAATTATTTATGTTCCTGCTGTCACAGTACAGCCTAATATAGAACTGCAACAGTGTGCAGAATTGCACTTATCTTTGCAGTACAGGAATATTTTATAGCTTACTGTAGGTGAATGCTCATCATATCAGAGAAATGATAGCAGTGTTACGGGGTTTTTGGACTTTGTCCATAATTTGGTATTCCAAAAAACAAAAGAACACGTTTCGGAAGCTGAGTCTGTTTCAGTCCTATGAAATTCTTCCTTAACAATTTCCCGTCTCTGCTCTAGTTACAAGTTGGCTAATTGTCTGAAAGCAGTGTAAGTCCACAGCAGAGATGCTGCTTGGCATTCGTTTGATTCATATATGACAACTCTGAGGTGAGACTGTGATAAATAGTAGAAACTTGACGGATGTTCGTGATGAATAAACAATTTAATTATTTCTATGCAATTTATTTTAAGAAAACCACGTGTGAAGAGCGGGAGCTCGCGTTGCTTTGTGGGACATAACTATTCTGTATCTAAGCATCCTGTACGTTACTGTATCTAAAACTGTTTATGTACTACCAGTCCATTAACAATGCAACAAATTGCTCATATATTATAGCAGTAAGACAGTGTAAGACACCTGAAGATGGCCATTTAGGGCCGAAACATGTCGGAAATGAAAATGTAAGAAAGAAGGAACAATTTGTTTCATTGTTGACGGACTATGTAGTACCTAAACAGTTTTGGAAGTAACTGTCTTTGACATCTGTGTGGCGGAAGGGGAAAGCCACATCTCTCAAAGATTCAATTCGTTCTGCCAGGGTCAATCTCATATTATTTAATTGGTGTCTGTCGTGTTTCGAGTGCCGCTGTGTGCAATGGACATGAGCACGCGACACAATTTACATACGAGTAAAATGAAACCTTGTTTTTGCGTGTAAAGTTTGATACACGATTCTTCGTTTCTTAAACCTTAAAATGTGTTTTCTTGTATTCGTTTATACGTCTTGCTTACCAAAAAAGAAACTCCGGGGTGGGGGAAAGCGTACGGTAATGTAGCAGGACGTCATGTAAGCTTAGTATTCGGTTCACTTGAGCGAATAATGAATCCATTAATCGCTACATCAAGCTTTAATAATCAGTACTGTAAACTGCCACCACATTCCAATTCAATTAGAATGTATTTAAATACGCAATTTACGTGCCATACCAAGGGAGGGGAGCAGTATGAGCGGTGACAAGTACGTTAATGTTATTACCCCCGAAATGTAGGCATTCTGTGGTTTAAATGATTATTATCACCACCTGCAAATCTTACGAATATAATAAATGCACATTTAGGGTGTGTTCTGTCGAAAAATACGAATTACGATAAATCGTATCTAAAATATCTTTGAATGTGCGCAATCAATAGAAAGTTCCTAGATTCTGTTTTCAACATATGTGTAAGTTGGGGACCAAACTCGTCGTACTGGAAATCTCCTTTGTTCCTACCCCTGTAAGGTTGTCTGCTGGAGGTTATACTCCCAAAGATGTTTTAGTCACTTTAACAAAATCCCTTTGCCTGTAGCCAGCGAGAGAATCACACGAGTTCGGAGAGGAACGTTTCGTTACAATTGTTGCACATGCGCATGTCCACAAGATGGCTCGACCAACAGTTGCCTACTACTCGAGTAATTTACGTATACTCAGAACACGCACACTAGTAAATTTAGTTTTCTCTAGCAAGTTTTAAGCTCGAGGATGGTGAAGTTGATAAAAATGTGCCCCTGAAAGGGATAACCAATGCTTTTTTTTTATTTCTAGTGATGTGGAACTAAGTCCCTTGTACTGCGGCCACTTCTGGCCTATTGTACCAGCCCCAGATGATAGGTGAGGGTGATTGTGGAGCAGTTGGTGGAATGAATATTGGCAGGGGAAACCGAAGTACTCGGAGAAACCTGCCCCAGCGCCACTTTATCCACCACAAATCCCACTTGACCAGACCCGGGATCGAACCCGGGCAGCCGCGTTGGGAAGCCAGCGACTAACTGCTTGAGGTATGGCGCGGCCCTATAACCACTGTTAGCAGAAACCTTTTTCATGTGTAAAATCTCTTCGTCACTTTTTGGTTGTGCACGTACATTTTCGTCACCCTTCCATCGTCCTATTGTTCTGATGCAATCTTCAGTTTATTTTACATTATCTATGATTTAGTTTATCCATCGTGCAGATCACCTTAAGAATTATAAATCATAAATGACCATTTTAGCATTCAGTAACGAAGTTAACGTAATTAGATTAAGTCTAGTTTCGTGTTTATGTTGAAGTGCGACCGCTGCACAGAATTCCGCATATGAATCGGACACTGCAATTTCTAGTGTTTAACAAATTATGAATAATATAGTCTAATTTTTTACCATTGTGTTAATCATTATCATTGATCTGTCTATCAATATTACCTTCATAATCGCTTCATTTCAATCCGAAACCCTAAGAAACTTCCATCCACCTCTTTCATGCCCCGTTAATAATCCTAGTTATCTCAGTTCTTACCCGTAGAACTCCTGAGGGTTTTCCTTGTTCGCAATTGCTTAGTTAGAGCCAGCCAAAGAGACATTCTCAGTCATCCAGGAGGAAAAAAAAAACCGCGCTCTGCTTGGGCCCAAATTTTAGGATTACTTCAAATCTGCTGTATAGTGAGCACACGTTCCGTTTTAATGGGATAGCCCAATTTTTGAGTGAGGTGTTCCTTTGTCCTGATAAAGATAAAAACGGAAGCCAAGTAGTCCTTTTGTTTTCCAGCAGTGCCACTTTAATTAACATTTACATGAGAAGTTTGTCTTAGGCACCCATTTCGTAAGTGATAATATCTTCCTATTAAAGGAATTTCATTCGACTGCACTTAAGGACCCTCCAGTTTCAGATCGAATATATAAATATATTTTCGATGAAGCCGATGACGAGTTTAAATAAAAATTGCGCTAATTTCTTAGGAAGATTATGGTCACGCACAGATAGTTAATAAATTCACCGCTTTTGTGGGAATCGAAGGCTTATTACCGAGCCTGTGAAATCCTGCCACTAGACTCAGCTCGAGCCAGAAGATTCTTATATTTCTTTAAGGTTTATTTAATGTTACCCTTCCACACGATCTCGTTAAGTCCAGGCTTTCCGCTGAAAGTTGTGTAATGGAAAACGAGGGGCTCTCTGAAACGTTTTGTAGTCCAATATTGAGACGGCTGTTCGCCCTAGAAAATTTTAGCTCGTTTGTTCTCCGTGAAAGCTTCAAGTCTCACGAAAGTTATGGAGTTTAATAAGCCTTGTATTCTACAGTAACATGATTATAAATTATTACAGCCAGCATAGCTCAACATATAATGGCTGGACAGTTTTGGTCCAAATCCTAAGGGCGGCCGCACACCAACTGCGTCAAGACAGGTATTAAGACATGGGACAAAAGACGCAGTCTTGCTTCATTCGTGATTCATTAACATGAAGCTGACGTTAGCATCAGCATTCAGACCGGTGTGGGGCGGTTTTCATAATCTCATTCGTTTCAACTGTGCTCCTTTCTTTGCGTCATGTAGCAGACATCGTGTCTTGACTGTTACATGTCTTGACACATGCCGGTGTGCGACCTACCTAATAGAGGCAGGAATTGTTCTTTCCTCCACAACGCCTAAACCGTTTTGGGGTCCATCAAGTCACATATCTAATAAAATAAAAAAGTAGTTCCAAATAGTGAGGTTGTACTGTACGTAATCATTTTAATATCTTCTTAGCATGTGAGACATATTTCTTTCACTTTGTATGCCTTCTTTGCATTCTTTACAAAGTATTGTTATGATGATCACGTAAAGGAGAATGAGGTGAACAGAGGCATGTAGCACGAATGGATTATATGAGAAATAAATTCCAACTCTCAGTACGAAGACCTGAAGGAAAGAACCACTTGGGAAAGACAAGAGGATAACATTAAAACAGGGAAGTGTAATATCTTCTGGAAATGCGGCATCGTATAGTCTGATATAAATTTACTCGCCTTGCGGAAGCAATACCTTCCTCAGAAACGTCAATAATTTCTACCAGATTATACTGTGCAATATCCTATTTCGATACGTAGTCAAGGAAAGAGACCACAGGGAAGACCAAGGCGTAGGTGGGTGGACAATATTAGAATTGATCTTAGATAGGATGGGATGGTATGGAGTGGATAGATCTGGCTCAGGATAGGGACCAGTGGAGGGCTCTTGTGAACACGGTGATGAACCTTCGGGCTCCATAAAATGCTGGGAAATTCTTGAGTAGCTGCAGAATTGGCTCAGCTTCACGAGTAAGTAAGTCACCACCGCGAAAACCCGAAATCTCACATTCAAATAGACAGTATAGGAAGAGGGTGTGTACTGGATATACTGGTTCAGGAGAAGATTCAATTGGGATTTCTTGTATGCACCATTTGGGTTTCAATAGAAGACAGTGAATCACGTATTAGTTTTCAACGAGGAGTTATTTGTCTGTAAAACTCTAGTTCACGTAGTTTGTTTCACTTTAGCAGTAAGTTACTAATTTAAAATAAGATCTGTATTCTGTGTATTATTTTCGAATTTGATTATGTGTAGCACAATTACACTTCCTTTTTACGTAGCATCTTCCCTTTGTGTTCGTGCTTCCTTATTACTGAAATTATCTTGACGCATTAATGGTAATTAGGGTTTATAGTTTGTAACCCAACCGCAGCTGCGCCACCGTTGCCTCATCCCCAGAGCAGTGGATGTCTTCACAGTATCGATCTTGGTGCCGTTTAATTCGAGCGTACACATACATGAAGGCATATGGCCTATAAAACATCAGTGTGTTGTGTAGCTTAATGTAATTATGCATGTGATGTCTGGAGTATTTCACGAGGATTAGTGACCACTGGTTAATATTTCCCTCCAGCTGGAATGACATCGACAGAAAATAGTGACCCCAAAGCCCCGCCCCAGACCCCTGTGTTGACCGTGGCATGTCGTATGCTACGTTCGCCCTCTCATGAATCTGTTACCACGGACCTCTCGCTATTCTCCGTGTCATCCATCGCATCTGAAGCAGCAGGGGGCGGTGCTCGAGGGATGCGTCTTGTCACCTTCAAGTCTTACAGTGATGTACAGCTGTCTGCCAGGGGACCTAGCCCCAATCCAGATAGTCGGGGTCAAACCACTTCGAGGTAAGCATAGGTCAGCGTTTCTCGAATCTGTTTAGATTCATTATAATTGTATCTGATGATGACTGTGCATAAAAGTACACTAATTCTACAAAACAGATCCAACTTATGAAAGTGTTTCTACTTTTAACTTAGCATCTCGGCGCAATCAAACGCGAAGTATTTAGGGCGTGAAAATGACCTGTAAATTACTATTTTAAGACGTAATATTATATTTCAGCATCATGTTGCATTGGGGCACCATTTTAAATTTTAAAGTATTTCGTCTCTAATGCAAAAACGTCAGTCCTTTCTTAAGACACTAAAATATGTATATTTAATTCACTAAAGAGTTTTTGTTAAATACTTAAAATGTCATTAACTATGTACATTTGATGTCATTGCTACATGTTTCGGCCACACATGGGCCATCATCAGGCAACACTTATTATCTGGGGAGACAACTGCACTGTACCCTCGGCACATCATTATTGTTTTGTTAATTTGCTTCGCATCATATTTTCATCCTATCTTCTTAGCGGCGGTTTCACTGTACTGTACTTCTTATGCTAGTGGAGCGGGACTAACTCCCTTGTACTGCGGCATTTCTGGCCTATTGTACCAGCCCCGGATGATAGGTGAGGGTGATTGTGGAGCAATTGGTGGAATGAAGATTGGCAGGGGAAACTGAAGTACTCGGAGAAAACCTGCTCCAGCGCCACTTTGTCCACCACAAATCCCACTTGACCAGACCTGGGATCGAACCCGGGCGCCGCGGTGGGAAGCCAGCGACTAACCGCTTGAGCTATGGCGCGGCCATATATATTAGTATGATTTTATCTTTAAGCTATCTTTGTATATTTAGATGTTGAACTTCTCGTACTTAGTGTTGCAGCAGGAAGTTACTTACGATGAATTAATGCCTGTGTCTTATATGAATATAATTAGACATATTCTCATATTAGGCTGAGACTCTAGCAGGGATATAGTGCCAATGGGTTATCTAAGGACATTGTTTCAACTATCGATGTTCCTTGACATTGAATAAAGTAGGGAAAGATCAGAGATGGTAAGCCATAGGCTACGTTGCTACATCCTGTTACATTGGAACTTGCCAAACGATGCGGAACAAACATGGAGGTAGTTGAGTCAAGCGGTACTGCTTGTGGCTTTTATTTTGTAGGTGCCGGTTTCGAATTTTGACCGGGGCACCGATTATCTTAACCAAGGTATATCATCGGTTTCCTCAGTTCCTCCTAGGAAATGCCTGAGTTGTACCCTGACTTCGGCCGCGACCGATTCTTTCCGCCTACTTTCCAATGTGTTCTTCACTTCCAACCAATCATTTGAAGTTACGTATCAGTAATGTGTTCTAATGATATAGGCACCTTTAAATAAACTATAAATGAGACATGCCCTGTTGAGAAACACCACAAAACCTGGACTGTAGTTTGCCTGGCCGGGATCTGAACCCACTACGTTCCGAATAAATTTCAATAGCGTTACCGCTACCCCAACCAGACCTGTTAACTCTCGCGAAGTCAATAACTACTAGTGTATACTGTATCGGTTGTACCTATGTTGAGCACATCAGCGTCACCATAATTCATTAAACGACGGCTTACCAAATTATTTGTCCATTTGCTTCAAAAAGATAAAGTCCACGCACTATTAACCACGGCAATAGATGGACTAGACAGGTTATATTTATGCGCAAGCGCCTGTACTTCTGGAATATGAGACCTGGGTACTTAACTGGGCAAGACACTGGGTGGGTCAAAGAACCGGTCAGGGCGTGGGGTGAAATTTAGAATTCCTGACACTGCCGGGAATAGATAGTCAGAGTATCCAGGCAAAACAGTAACATTTCCTAATTATTCCAACTTCTATGCTTCAGAATGGAGATAAAGTCGTCATTCATATACAGACGTATTTTTCTGTTGTAGTTGATCGAAACTAACCCCGTTTTCTCGGTATGTCGGTTACCGCCCCCCTCCCCCACACACACACACATAGAGAGAGATGTAGGTTTCAAAGTACTATGTACTATTAATTTGGCCTTTGCTCATCGTCAGAATTCAGAGGTGTGGCTGGTGTGTTCAAGGCGACTGGAAGTTCCCACCCTCCAGTCAATATCAATACCAATCATCCGAGCCTATTAAAACCTCCACGTTCATCCAAAACAGTCCTCCCCCTATCTTTCTTAATATTTGCTTATATCTGTCCCCCACACCTGTGCCAAACCCTTAACACTTGTATTTGTTTAGGTGGTGCCTCATCTGTCTGTCAAAACGACATGGCAATAAAGCCAGGCTGTCTGTATAGCATCAACTGCTGAGAAATACGCTGGAACAGTATTTCAAAGTCACCGCATTGTATCGACTTAAAAAGAAACAAGCGTTTCCAGCAAATGCTGCCATGTTAGTATTAATTCGGCGCCTGTTTTGTTCAAGTTTAATTCCGCAAGTTAATCATGGAACTAAAATTCTATGTATGTTTTGAGGTTTCCGTAGTTATCATTGTTGATATTGTGGTCCCCTGAGCTATGACACCGTGTAGTCTTTCAAGAGCATGTTCAGGGTTGAACTGCTTCACACTTAAATCCTAAAAATGGAGACAGCATATTCTCCCGAAACGTTCGTATATACCTACAAGACTACACGGTGTCACAACCTACAAGACCAAAATCTGAACTATAATTCTAAATGTTGTTTTATACATGAAGAGCGCTCAGGATAGTAATTAAGCAGGCGGAAATAATAGGCATCAGGAGAAATTTACGATTCAGGATTTCAACTGTTCCGTAAATATTGTTTGGGTGATGAGCTGAAGTGTAGCGGTGTGGGTGGAACATGTAATAGGCATTTGGAGGTAAGAAATGCATATATTTTGTTTGGAAGGGGCGTTATGTCTCAACTTCACATTGTGTGTGTGAAATAGAACGTCGAATGTAAGGTGTGTTCCTACTACCCAATCTGTTGACGGACTGAAATAGAGAAATTGAAAGGAAGCGGCCATTTGGGAGACATAAGTGTAGAGGGGGGTAAACAGTAGGCTGGATTCGTCTGGGATACGATAGCATCCAGCATTAAGCACCTCTAGGACTATTCTTTCTGTCTGTTTGGGAGGGGAAGCCTGAATATTTGTTTAAAAATTTACATTTAAGCTTTTTTATGTATATTTTTACCGATAAAAAAAATAAGTTTAAATTTATTATTAATGTTTGATATATTTCCCGCTTTTCTTCCTTGCCGAGTTTTTAAAAAATAAGGGGAGGGGGCAGATGCCTATTTTTCCCCCTTCCCCTATTTCCGAAGCCCATGGTATCCACTAGCGGGTTTTTATCGACACGGTAATGGACCTTTGGTTTCCATCCATATTTGTTCAATAATTGACTGATTGTCGACTACTTAGGAAGTTGTTTAACCTCTCATACATCAATAGCGACATATTTGACATAACAGTTCAGTCTGTTGCGTCATTCTTCAATGAAAAGTGAGCTTTGTAGCGTATACGGGTTTCTGTAACTGAGATTCAGCTCAGTAGTTTCATGGCATGCGTTACTTCATAGTAAGAAACATCATCTTCGCCACGAAATACGTTGCACAGTTGGTCACGACAGTTCTTCACAGATAGTGTGAAACACCTACCTAATTTCACGAGGAATTTACAGCGCAAAAGGCTTAACTAAGGACCACGTCATGAAGACCTACTGGAAATCAGTAACTTACGTCCTAGATGGGGTATGTGGCAAGTTTTACGGGACGGCTGCTTTACTCCCGAGGATAGACTCCCGATGTTTCATCAATAAACCGCTAGGTGGACCCCAGAGCTGGTCTGGACATAGCGAAGATAAAAATGTTATACCCATGCCGGGAATTGAACACTTATTCTCCTGTCGCTCGGCCCGTAGCCTAATCATTACACATCTGGAGATGAATTAAAATTAATTGCAAACATGTGAAAAATTGCAGCTGTGAAAATTAATGGCAGATCAGCGTTTAGTTGTTTTTTCATATATCAAGTTTTGTTGGGTTCATTGTTGGATAGTGATTGTGAAATATTGCGAAATGAGCATTCGTAGAACCAAAGTCCTTCTTCTTAAGAACAGATCTTGTGTTCCTGATGTGAAAAAATGTTCTCGGAAGCCAAATTTACAGAACAGTTTCCGACCCACCCAAAAATCGGACTGTCACACAGAAAATTTGACAGTTGGTAATCCTAGAGACGACACACACAGGAAAGGCTGAAACAATCGAAAACAAGTTGGAAAACGGTGGCGCTACCTGGTGCCAATTCTGGTGTACCTGTGTGGTGGTTACTAAGTAAACGATGGCTTTTACATGTTTCTGCAATTCTGAATAAAGCAACATAATTTAATTCTTACGCGCATATACGGACATGTAAATTAATACTTCTCATAATTTAATTACAATTAGCTTTTCAAACTACGGCATTTCTTTGAAACAACATTTTATCACATTTTTTATTGAATTATCTTACGACATTGGGGGCACGCGGTAGCGTTGTTGGGTGGAGCACTGTGCTATAAATCGGAATGTCACGGGTTCGATTCCGTATGAGGTCATTGGATTTTTTCAATTTACCTAATCCTTCCAGCCGCACTGTGGCCCAGGATCGCCTCAGCCTATAACAAAAATGAGTACCAGGAATATTCCTTGGGGGNGGGGGGTAAAGAACGGCCGGCGCGTAAGGCTGACAACCTCACCGCCATTTGTGAGCCAATTGTCTAAAAAATGTGGGAGCCTCGACGTCTCACAACCCTATGGTCCTCCACGGCCTGTTACAGGGATAGCTTTACCTTTTACCTTTATTAATTTCTGCCATTAAAAGTCTGTCAATGTCATTATTCAAGTAGAAATATGTCATGTTTCTTCTTACAGTACCACAAGATTTTAAGGCCTCGTCTTTATCACAGTTTAAGACCTCACACACTCCTAGTACGTCCTTGCAGAGAAGACTGTAGAAAGAAATTAGCTAGAGGGTTCAATACATTTAATTTG